AGTGTTGAATTTGCTTCATTCTCTTCTACCTGATCATGGAAGAAAAGCTTTCAGTCTTTAACTAGAGTATGATGTTACCTTTAGGATTTTCATATATGGCCTTTACTACATTGAGGTGGTTACCTTCTCTTTCTATTTTGTTGAGTGTCTTTATCATGAAACAGTGTTGAACATGGTCAAATTCTTTTTCCACATCAGTTCAAGTGATGTTATTTTTGACCTTTATTCTGTTAACGGGATGTCTTACATATTGTTTTCAGTATGTTGAAACTCTTGAATTTGAGGAAGTATTCCCACTTGTTCATGCTTTAGAATGTTAAAATGTGCTTTTGCCATCAGCTCCTTGTATTTTATTTTATATTTTATTAAAGGTCTTATGTATGTATGTATGTATTTATAGAACAAGCAGTGGGAAGGGGCAGAAGGAGAGGGAGAGAGAATCCCAAGCAGGCTCCCTGCTGAGCGCTAAGTCCAAAGGAGCTGGATCTCAAGACCCTGAGATAATGACTTAAGTGGAAACCAAGAGTCCGATGCTTAACCAACTGAGCCACCCAGGCGCCTCTCAGTTTGCTGTATTTTATTGTGGACTTTTGCACGAATATTCATCTTGGATAGTAGTCTGTATTCTTCTTTACCTGTAGTGTCTTTGGCTTTGATATCTGGATAAGGCTGGTGTCATAGAAAGGGATCTGATAATTTCTCTTCTCTTCATACGTTGGTAGTGTTTGAAGTTTGATGTAAGTTTTCATTGAATGTTTCCTTGAATTAGCCAAAAATTCATCTGGGTTAGACAATTTCAGAGTTTTTGGTTACTTTTTTCTATCTATTTAGTAGTTGTCGGTCTGTTGTGAGGTGTTTTCTCATTTTGTTTTTTTTTTGGTCATGATAGAGTACAGATTGGATCTTTTTTTTTTTTTTAAGATTGATTTATTTGAGAGAGAGACAGAGCACAAGCAGGGCGAGAGGCAGAAGGAGAGGGAGAAACAGACTCCCCGCTGAGCCGGGAGCCTGACACAGGGCTCTGTCCCAGGACCTGGAGATCACGACCTGAGCCGAAGGCAGATGCTTAACCATCTGAGCCACCCAGGTGCCCTAACAGATTGTATCTTTTATGAAATTTATACACATGGTTTTTGGTATCCATTTGTTGGCATATAATTTTTCTTTATCGCCTCTTACAATTATTATTTCTATGGCATCAGTTTTTTGTTTTGTTTTTTTTTAGATTTTAGTTATTTATTTGCCAGAGAGAGAGCAGAAGCAGGGGGAGTGGCAGGCAGAGGAGAAGCAGACTCCCTGCTGAGCAGGGAGCCTGCTATGAGGCTCCATCCCAGGAACCTGAGATCATGACCTGAGCTGAAGGCAGACACTTAACCAACTGAGCCACCCAGGTGTCCCAGCATCAGTTTCATTTATTTATTTATTTATTTAGATTTTATTTATTTGAGAGAGAGAATGAAAGAGAGCACATGAGAGGGGGGAGGGTCAGAGGGAGACGCAGACTCCCCGCTGAGCAGGGAGCCCGATGCGGGGATGCGGGACTTGATCCCGGGACTCCAGGATCATGACCTGAGCTGAAGGCAGTCTCCAACCAACTGAGCCACCCAGGCGCCCCCGGCATCAGTTTTAATGTGGTTTTACTTGAGTCTTCTGTTATTTTTACTTGATTTAGTAAAGGGTGTGTCATTTTTCTGGATCTTTTCAGAAAACCAACTCTTTGTTTTGTTGATGGCTTTTTATTTTTTCCATATCCTATTTCTTAAAATAGTTTATTTATTTACTTATTTATTTATTTAGAGACCGAAAACAGGGGGAGGGACAGAGGGAGAGGGAGAGAGAGAACCCCAAGCAGACTTCCACACTGAGCACAGAGCCTTTTGTGGGGCTCAATCCCACGACCCTGAAATTGTGACAGGAGCCGGAATCAAGAGTTGGACGCTCAACTGACTGAGCTACTGAGGTGCCCCTTGCTATATCTTATTTTGTTGATTTATGTTGCATGTTAAAATTTCCTCCCCTCTGCTAATTCTTGGGCTAGACATCCTTCTTTTTCTTTTTTTTTTTTTTTTAAAGATTTTATTTATTTATTTCACAGAGACAGATACAGTGAGAGAGGGAACACAAGCGGGGGGAGTGGGAGAGGGAGAAGCAGGCCTCCCGTGGAGCAGGGAGCCCGATGCGGGGCTCGATCCCAGGACCCCGGGATCATGACCTGAGCTGAAGGCAGACGCTTAACGACTGAGCCACCCAGGCACCCCGACATCCTTCTTTTTCTGATTCTTTTTTGTGTAATAAAGTGATTTGTGCTACAGTATGACAGTGTTAGAAAATTCTCTGTATGTACGATATCTTAGCATTTTCTGTAGGGCTAGTCTAATGGTGCTGAAATTGTAACAAGTAGTTCTCTGGGAAATTTTTTACTTGTCCTTCATCTTGACGGAGTATTCTTGGTAATTTGCTTCATTCATGACTATTGATAGATTGTATACTGTTTTCTTTATATGAGGCTGTTGCTGAGAAATCTACTGATAATGCTGTAGAAGCTCTGTTGTACGTCCTGGGGTGCTTATTCTTGTTCCTTTTAAATTTCTTTTTGGGGTGCCTGGGTGGCTCAGTTGGTTAGGCAACTGCCTTCGGCTCGGGTCATGATCCTGGAGTCCCTGGATCGAGTCCCGCATCGGGCTCCCTGCTCGGTGAGGGGTCTGCTTCTCCCTCTGATCCTCTTCCCTCTTGTGCTCTCTGTCTCTCATTCTCTCTCTCTCAAATAAATAAATAAAATCTTTAAAAAAAAAAAAATTTCTTTTTGTTTGTGATTCTTGATAGTTTGATATATTGTGTATCTGTGTGGATATCTTTCAGTTTATTTTATTTGGAATTCATTGTGCTGCTTGATATTTTAGGCCTGTTTCTTTCCTCAAATGAGGGACATATAAGCCATTAATTCTTCTTTTAAGCTCTCTGCCCCCTTTTCTTTCTCTTTACCTCATTGGGTCCCCTTGATGTGTATATTGGTCTCCTTGATGGTGTCCAGTGAGTCCCTCAGGCATTTGTCCCTTGTCTACATTTTTATTTTGTGCTCCCTGTAACTTCATAATTTTAGTGAATTATCTTCGGGCTTTTTCTTTCTTTCTTTTGCTTGATCAAGTCGTCATTAAGCGCCAGTGAAGTTTCAGGTGTAGTTATTGTTGTACTACTGTCAGCTCTCATTTTTTGTTTGTTCCTTGATTGTACTTTCTGTCTCATTGATATTTTGATTTTGTTCTAACATAGTTTGAATATTTTAACTCTTTTAGCTATTTAATCATCATTTAGATGGTTATTTTAATTGTGTATCAGGTAATATAGATGTCCATTACCTACAGCCAATTTCTGCAGATGTATTTCGTTTCTTTCAGCGTGCCTTGTTTTTCTTCTTTGTATGATTTTTGATCTTTTGAGATTTGGGAATTTAAACAGCCTAGGTCTCCTAGTCTTTATGGACTTGCTTTTTTCAGGAGAACACCAATAACAGTCACAGGATGCAGAAAATTTGCAACTTGTCAAACCCATTTGGTCAGGTATATTCTCTGTGCATGTAACTTCCCAGTAACAAAAATTTCTGTTTCTTACGAGTCCATGATATATTGCTCTCCCTAATGTCCATCTTTAGATGTACAGTCTCTGCTACCAAAGTGTTCACTCGTGACGACAAATGGTGCTTTGATGGTGTATGCCATTCTGTGTTGTACTCTGTGCCAAGTGAAATAAAATAAGTTTATGTACCCATATGAAAAGTCACAGCTTTGGACACAGAGACTCTTCAGTATGTTAACTATATGATTCATGTTTTCTGGAAAATACAAATAAGTAAACAAAAGAATGTGTCTGTGACGTGAGTGTGAAATACAATGAAATCTTACAAGTTGGAGGCGTCATTGACTTAGAACCAACACTCCCACAAGTCAGAATCTTCAGTGCACAAAAGAGAGAGCTTTCATTTTCCATTGGAAACTACAAGCAAAGAGAAACTCAGAAGAAAGGAGTTTCCAGTTTCAATGTGATGGCTTCTGCACACCTTGCAGTAAATCCATCCAATCATTATGAATGATTAAGAGATAAATTCACGTTATATAGGAGGAATCTGACAGAGAGCACCAAGCCAAGTAAAAGAAGTTAACGTCAGCTGTAATAATAAGCAAATTGGTATCAGTGCCTGAGGCACACTGAAGGACACAGCATAACTTCTGTGTTCTTGTTGCTGCCCTAGAGTAAATCAGAATATGAATCTAATTAAGAGGGCCACCTGAGTGGCTTAGTAGCTGAAGTGTCTGACTCATGATTTTGGCTCACTTCATGATCTCATGGGTCATGGGCTTGAGCCCTGTGTCGGCCTCTGTGCTCACCAGTGCTGACATTCAGCGATGTGGCCATCAAACTCTCAGGAGGAGTGGGGATGCCTGAACCATACATACCCAGAGGCAATTGTACAGGGATGTGATGTTAGAGAACTACGGACACCTCCTCTTCCTAGGTGAGGATGGCTTTTTCCATATTTCCAAACCACACTCAGATTTGTTCCTTCCTTTGAAAACCATCTCTTCAAAGAGTCTTTGCATGACTGGAATTCAGATCCAGGCAATAAGGGAAATCAGTAGGGGTTTGTAGAGAAAAATTTTCATGATATTTCCTTTTCAGCTTTAGCTTCCCCTTTCCTTAGGGTAATATCATCAATTCTGTAGATTTGTGGTAATTCTACATATTCAGTGACATAAAATGGTACTGCCTACATCCTAAACTCCAATTATTACTCTTTGTTATTGTATCAATAGTACTTGGAAGTGGAGGTCATAATGTGAATATTCGAAACCCCTACTGTGTGTTCTAAAGGGATCGTTGGTTAACAGCACTTGGGAAATAATTTTCTAGAATTCTACAATGTCCTCTCTTCTCTGCTGAGCACAATTTTGGATTGAAAGTTAGAATCTCCAGCAATACTTTTTTCTTTTAAACAGATCTCGTGTGGAAGCCAAACCTGGTCCTCTTTTTGGAGCAAGAGAAGGAGCTCTGGGATATGAAGAGAAAGAAGAGAGTAGCCTTCCACCCAGGTAGGTGAGACTGAATGAAGCAGATGACAGAGGTGAGGTCCAAATGTGAAGCAGGAAGATTGACCTTAAAGTGTGTTTTAAGTAGCTCTCCTTGAATGGAAATTAGTTTGAGAAGCCTAGTTTTATTTCTCTCCCTCTCACAGAGGGACATCAACTATCCAACATTATTAAGCTCTTACATTCTCTAAAGATTCTTCTTCAGCTCCAGTGATGGTCCATCACATCCACAGGGAGGGCCAGGCAACTACCCTGGGAGTGGGGGGCTTCCATAGTCTGAGAGCTTCTCCATTGCCGTGAGGGCCCTGGGAAATCTCCCTATTTCTGAGGAACTCTATGCTAAGCCTTTTCTAAGTTCTGTTTTGCCTTGTATGAGAAGTGTGTCATGATAGCAGTGGAATACTGGGGTTTGGTGCAGACATCATGGGAACACTGTTGATAGATATCTGGTGTTTTCTGGTTTATGCTTTCCAATGTTATGGAGGCTTTAATTTTAATTGAACAAAATTGAGACTCAGTAATCTCATTAGATAATAAAGCACCTCCCTAAAATGAGAAAATCTAATCCCTTATTTCCCTTCAAAGGTTCATTTTTCTTTGTATTGACTAATATTAGAAAGTTCCACTCTGTGTTGCATTCCTCAGTGGTGAAATAATGTATCTTTTTGTGTCCTAGAATTCCTACATAAATTATAAATTAATGCCATAAGGGAGCTAGAACATTTAGAACTTAGAACTTGCAGCCTATAATAAAGTCTCAATTGTTATTTTATTAACAATTGCATCATTTTATAATTTTGTATGATACGAAGTTGTGATTTTTGTCGTGTGTTTTCACTGTATTAGTTATATGTCAGATTCATCTCTAATTTTTTTATATGAATAGTTGGGATATGACATGGGCGTATGCTGCTAAGAAGTGAGGTGGATAATTAGTAAAATCCCCATATTTTATTTATTTATTTTTAAAGATTTTATTTATTTATTTGAGAGAGAGAGAATGAGAGAAAGCACATGAGAGGGGGAAGGGTCAGAGGGAGAAGCAGACTCCCCGCTGAGCAGGGAGCCCAATGCGGGACTCGATCCCGGGACTCCAGGATCATGACCTGAGCCGAAGGCAGTCGCTTAACCAACTGAGCCACCCAGGCGCCCAAAATCCCCATATTTTAAAAAAAAGTTTTGTTTATAAATTTTATTTTACTTTAGGAGAAATTTACTGTTAGGCTTTTCTTCCTCAGAATGTATCCGAATTTAATTCCCAGTATTTATTTTTTACAAAGTGATTGCTGGCATATTTTACAATTTTGATACTCTATATTTCAAAATGAAGGGTATTTCTTCGGGTGCTTGGTTCTTTTTTAAAATTTATTTATTTGTGAGAGACAGAGAGAGAACGAGCCAGCACTAGTATGGGGAGGGGTAGAGGGAGAGAATCCTAAACAGACTCCCTGAGGGGCTCAATCCCACAACCCTGAGATTGTGACCTGAGGTGAAATCAAGAGTTGGATGTTAACCTACTGAGTCACCCAGCACCCCAGCCTGCTTGTTTCTAAAGAATGGATTATAGCCTTGCATTTTGTGTAAGAGGAGGGACATGTTAATAACATAATACATTTTTTAATGTCTTTTAAGTGCTCATTCATAAGATTTTCTATTAGAGCTATTCATGGTTGATTTTAATGAATATTCTTTATAATTTTACTGTCAATTTAGGCATGACAGTAATTCAAAATACTTGTTTTTCATGGGTACATAGTCACAGGTTAAAATTACGCTTATATAGAAGGTTTCCTTTCAGAAATTCATGTATTTTTATGTAGACTTACTTGGGTTAAATTTTGTCTTCTTCTGCTTTTGCAATTCCGTAATAATGTGCTTACTTTTGTATGGGACCCTCCACAACATTATTTAGTTGTGATATTGTTGTTGCCTGTGTATTTTATTATAGGATGACAATTTTCAACTCAGTAGATTTCAAGACAGTGTGAGTTTATCTCACATATGAATCAGCTTTATGCCCTTTATCAATAAAATTATGTATGTATTTGTCTGTATAAATACCACCCATGCATACTGTGATTATGACTCATCTTGTGAATTTGTTTTATTGGTTAGTGTTCAGTGAGTGTTGTATCATGTCTAGGTGAGTTGTTATAATAATAGAATTAATTTCATCAGCTGTTGGTGAATTTATATTCCCTTTGCATGAGAGAAACACTTCTTGTGGATTCAGTGTAATTTTTAAACATTTTATACCTCTGAATCAAATTTTGGTATTACATTATATCCTTAATTGTGGTGTTATACCCATGATGTGCTTTGATACCATCCTCACTAACTTTTGTGTCTTCTCTGTACTTACTTTCATAATAGTTACATTAGAGATTACTTAAAACATTTTAAAGGTATAACAAACCATTTTTAAGTGCTCTTGTCATTTGCATACAACACTCTTCTACTTATCATCTCCACCCCTGCACCCACTTTGTTACCAATATCACAAATTCTATCTTTTATGTGGTGTACTTTGTTACCTAGGTTTATGATTTTATGCTTTTATATAAAAAAAATTCTACTGCAGAAATAAAAGTGACGTGTGCTACCTCATTACAACACTACAGGATTCTGTAATTGTGTAAATATTTACATTTAGCTGAGAGCTTTATGTTGTCCTGTGGTTTCAGTTACTGTTCAAAATCATTTTATTTCACTGGAAAGACTTCCTTTAACGTTTCTTGTGGGACAGGTCTACTGGTAAACTTAGGGGGGTTTTTACTTGGGGAAGTCTTCATTTCTACATTCATGGAAAACTGCTTTGCCAGGTAAAGTATTCTTGGTGGCTATTTTTTGATCTTTCAGTATGTGAATATATTTTCCCATGTAGTTCTTCTTGTCAGGCCTGCTGAGAATCCCACTACTAATCTTATAAAGCTCTCTTGTACAAGATGGTTGGTTTTGTCATGCTGTTTCAAAATTTTCTTTTCACTTGTGATTTGTGATAATTATGATGTGTCACTGTGTTCATGTCTTGAGATTTATCCTATTTTGAATTTACTGAGCTTGTTGAATTAGTCTCTTCCCACATACATGGGATGTACAAGCCTTTAGTTTTTCATGTAAACTCTCTGCCCCCTTCACTCTCCTCTCCTTATGGGGTCCCCTTAATGTACATATTGGTCCACTTGTTGGTCTCCCATGAGTCCCTTAGACTCTGTCCTTTTCCACATTTTTCTTTGATCCTTTCAGTAGAGAATTTAAAATAAGGTGTCTTTAAGATGTCTGATTCTTTCTTCTGATTAATCAAGTCTATGGCTGACCCCTTGGTGTATTTTTAAATTCAGTGACTATTCTCTTCAGCTCCCTATTTCTGGTTCATTGTTGTTATACTTTCTGTCTGTTTGGATTTTCATTTTGGTCATGCATAGTTTCCCTGATATCATTTAGTTAACTATCTGTTTTCTTCCTCCGTGAACATCTTTATGATGGTTATATGAATTCTTTGTTAGGCCACTAATAATGGTTCTTTATTAATTTAAGGCCAACTTTGGAGATTTATTTCATTCCTCTGTTTGGAACACATTTTTCTGTTTCTTTGTATGCTATATTATATATATATATATTTTAAGGTTTTTTATTTATTTATTTGACAGAGAGAGACACAGCGAGAGAGGGAACACAAGCAGGGGGAGTGGGAGAGGGAGAAGCAGGCTTCCCCCGGAGCAGGGAGCCCGATGGGGCCTCGATCCCAGGACCCTGGGATCATGACCTGAGCCGAAGGCAGACGCTTAACGACTGAGCCACCCAGGCGCTCTATGCTTTATTATATTTTGTTGACATATGTGGATTTTAAAAAAGCAGCCTCTGAGCCCAAGATTATGGACTTGCTTTGTAGAGAGGAACACAAATAATAGTAATTCTGGGACCTCTCACACATGCTCTGGACATTTATCATTTCTGAATTTTTGTAATTTCCCAGGTTTAAAACTGTAGTTACTACTTTATGTCCGTGATAGCTTCCTCTCTGTTTGTCTTCAGCTCTGTGTTCTCTCCATTGGTTGAACAAATGCTCACCTTTGGTCTGAGCAGCCACCACGCTGCATCAAGAGGGTGCTCTCATTTCCTCTGCCTCCCATGTCATGCATGACAGAAACAAGTCCCTCAGGCAGCAGCCAGGAAGCCAGATCATTGAACATATAGGTCACTCATTTGTTTCTTTCCTGAGGAGAGGTAAGAGTTTTCTCACAGTGTTGCCATGGAGTGTCTAGGAGGGTGAATGGCTATTGTGGGCAAGTATCATAAGCTTTCCTTGTCTCTTTGATGAGGCTCTTCCTTTGTACTTACCTGGGGGTGCTGTGTTCTCCTAACTGGCTTCTGGAGCACTCTAAAAGGTAAGTTGTTCCGTTTTTGTCTCCATGGAGGAGCGCAGTCCTGGTGGTTCCTATTTCTCCCTTCTGCTGATGTGCTAGGATGAGTATCAGTTCTACACATGAGCATTTTAACATATATGCATGTCAGTGTACTAAGTGTGGTAACTTATTTTGTATCTTTTAGTCGTGTCTTTCCATAACACCCAAGGCCTGTTGGCAAAGACAGGGAAAGGAGATTCAGTTTGTAGAGTGATATGGGAAGATGTGGAAGCTGTGGAAATAAGTATTTATACTGATGAGTGACTGGGAATGTGATGGGGGGTAATGAAGGACATTATGATGGATATAACCAGATTGTGACAATTACTATAATGAAATCCTTATTGCCATAAGAGATGAGGGATAGATAACATTCGGGGAAAACCTCACCTTAAGTCAGTTATATTTGCAGAACAATGTCTTCGAACCCAGGGATGATAATCCATTTTTTAAACATACATATTTTTTTGAACGGTATTTGGAAATTCTGGAAAGTCACCTAGTCCAAACTAAAAGTAATCATTCAAACGATTTCTTTTTTTTTTAAAGATTTTTATTTATTTATTTATTTGAGAGAGAGAGAATGAGAGACAGAGA